AATCGAATCGAATTCAATATATTTATTTATTTCTTTGGGAAAATTATCATAATTTTATGTTTGAATGTTTCCTATTTTATCATCATCATCTTGATATCGTTGATGATGATGATTTTTCGTAAACGAAACAGGCGAAAACAGAAACCAAAATCACTAATCTTATTACATTGATGATTGATTTCTTTCGGAAAATCAAGGATTCTATTGCCGCCTACTGGCATTCGGAATTTTCAAATTTTGGACCATCAAAAACAAAACTGCACTCATTCATTATTGAATTGATGAAGAAGTTTCTTCGGAAAAAATCCCGGATAATTTCTCGTTTACAAAACAGCAAAACATAGCAAATAAAAATCTAAGAATTTTTTTCAAAGAAAATGTTTTTGGACTTACGAAAGATTAATAATCTGGTCTTGGATTTTTTCTTGAAACATCACTGTTTTTTTGTTTTTTGATTTTTGCAACAACAAAAAAAACCCGAATTAACAATGATGTTGTTGTCAGGCTGCAATATGATGACAGATTATATTTACGAATCGAATCTAATCTTTTTTTCTTTGCTAAGATCCCAATGATGATGATAGTGAATGAATGATGATGGATTTCGAGTCATTTTGCTTTTTTGTTCGTTGAATTCATTCATTTTTTTTTCCTCAATCACCGGTTATCATTGATGAAAAACAATCACAATCCATAATGGCATTAATCATGATCACCATGTTTTTGTTTTTCACTATATAGACATTTTTTCTTTCTTTGTTGACCATTTTTAATCACACAAAGGGCGTTTATTTTCTAGGAAATACATTTTTGCAAAGTCCGAACGAACGAAGAAAATCTAATTATCTCTCCTTTTACACAAAACACAATTCGATGATTGTCCATTTTACACACCACCTAGTATATAGTTGAATGAACAAAATATTCGCAAATATCGATGATTGATATTATGTCTTGAATAACAATGGCTATTTTTTCACATATAATTAAAAAACGGTTTCAATCTAATCAAGTGGCAAAGGAAAAAACCATTATCATCACAAATAAGAACATTTCTTGATTACCTGTTTACATTTGGGAAGGAAATCTTGATTTTTTTTTCCAGAAATTTTACCGCTAGCTGGCGTTGTTTTGAAACAAAACAAAACAATAGGAATAATAATTAATTGATAGTAGCATTGTTTAAACTTATCAAAAAAATTGAAAGAATTGATTGTCATTGTTTGAATGAATGATATACAAAGTAACTGATTCAATATAGTGTGTAAGTGGGTAGTTAGTAGTAGCGGTTCAAACTAGAGTTACAGTAGAATATTCTGTTCACAACAATAATATTAGCCTAGGTAGTAGCATTGAATTCTGTTGGGAAAAAATCGAGGATATCCATTTTTTTCGGGATCCATTTTTGGTAGTAGCATTATTTATTGATACAATTCGTTTAACTGTGGTATGTTGTTGGTATCCATTACAGACGAAACAAACAGGAAACACACACAGAGAAACAAGTGAATGAAAAGTTTCAATCCAATGAGTGATCCGATTTCGCGCCTTTAGTGTGAATGTGAAATGGTTTGTGTGGGCCATCGCAACATCATCATCATTCGTTGTTTGATACTTGATCAGTTCAGATGATGATGATGTTTGATTTAGTGATTTTTTTTGATTGATAATATTCATCAATAATAGTGTGTTCTTCAACGAAAAAATATGGTAAGTTTTGATGATTGCTTATTTCCAATCAAACGGAAATCACAAACCATTTATGAATGACATGTGATATTAATCATGTAATGATGATGATAATTATTTGGATATTCTGAAATTCTCTCTAGCTATATTACGATTACATGATCGTTAATATATTTTTCATATTTTCATTTTTATAGCTATTACGTGAATTTGATATTGTTTCCTTTGGTGTAAATTTCAGTTATGGAATTTAATTTGATTCCTTGTTTGACCAGGGAGAAATATAGATAGATTGTGATTGTGATTGTGATTGTTGTTTAACTCTGATTCTTGCTTTCTTGCTTGATTTTTTTGTTTTGTTTCATCACCTTGCACACAAATCATATTAACACTATTCATAGATATTTAGATATCTATAGAGTAATTTTTGAAAAACAAAAACATGATGATGATATTCATAGACTATTTACGATTTCGGTGTTTTTTTTTCTCTCTCCATAATAATAATAATTCAACCCCGAAACAGTATAATTCACGTACAGAATTATAGAATTGTTCAATTCTTTTTATTATTATTATTGTTGTATTCTGTGTGTGGAATCATCATGACCATTATCATTATTATTATTATTGTTTTCACCCAATGATGACCACAATGATGATGATGATCTTTATTGGATATAGAGAATGAGAGAAAAAAAAATCTTTTTTAATTGAGTCATTTTTGATTTCAGGATCATTTTCTATGTTGTTGATTTGTGTCTGTCATTCTGGTGTAATAATTCTCTTTCTCTCCCTATTTGATTATTAACATCATTATTACGATGATATAAAAGTTTTTATAATGGTCATTTGGTCAAGTATCATCATCATTATTTAATCAAATCGGATTCGCTTGTTTTCTTTTTTTTATTGTTGTTTGAATAAAGGTCATAGGTTTCAATGTTGTTTGAATTTATTCAAAGTTTTTTTCTTCCGACAACAATTTTTGTCCAATTTATTTTCAATATTTTTTTGTTGAAGCTTGTTCAAAACACACACAGAGAGAAAGAAATCTTGTTACATTTTTTTTCGAGAAGTAATAACCTACAAAGAATATTCTTGTTACAGTAGTTTCTGAACAAACATTTTTCGATTCTCAATAACAACTAGGCGAAAAAAAAAACTTTTGGAAACTTTTCCAGAAAAAAGAGAGATTCTTGTCGTAACAAGCAACCGATATATAAAGATTTTTTTCCATCAATTTCTTTCCAAAATGACAAACATTATTATCATCATCATCATCGTTGTTATTATGTACAATGTTGCCCTTTTGTATTTCTTTACGGAAAAAACTACTGAATGAAAAGACCTGATGATGATTATGGTGATTATTATGATTATGATTATTATTATTATGGGGCACATCCATATATAATCCTAGAAAATATAATGATCTTGAACACTTTTTGGGAAAGAAGTGTTGTATACAAACACATTAAACATACACACACATAATGTCCACCACCACCGCCGCCAACACCATCGACATCGAATATTCTCTGTATAAGATGAAATTATTTTTTTTTCTCAGGGATCAAATCAGCCAAGTTAAGTTTCATATATTCTATGATTGGCTATGATTATTTTCATTTTCACATTCACTTAACCAGATTCTTTCTTTCGTGTGAAATAAAGAAAGAAAGAAATTCTTTTTTTCTTGTTCATTTTGGGCCAACGATTCTGGTATCTCTTTTTTTTTGTTTTTTGTTTTCTCAATTCTGGTATCGTTCTCTCTCTCTCTCTCTTCGATGATAATAATAATGTACTGATAATATTTTGTTGTTTGTTTTGTTTGTTTGGGATTCATTTTCTCTCTATAGCTATAGATTGTGTTTGGGAAAGATATTCGCTTCTGTTATTCGACTAATTCGGTTGTTTATGTTATTATTATTTTGTTGTTGTTATTATTTTATGAATTCAATTCCGAATCCTTGGAAATATTGAAAAAAATATACATGTTGATGATTGAGCGGCTACAGAAAAGCAAAACAAAAAAAACGAATTGAACTGAATATTTAATGAATTTTTCTCTCTTTCGGTGTGTGTGTGAAACCTTGTCTATGCAGAATTTTTTTGGGAAAGAAGAGAATGATAGTGAAAATAACCAAACAACAACTTTTGTTTATAATGTGTCGCGTGTCAGAATTAAAATTCCAAAGATGACATACACACGACATTGTTTTTTTTCGTTGTTGTTGAGTAAAAGATAATGTTATCTATCGAACAGATAGATAGATAGATAGACAGGTTCCATAGATAGACACGACACCTAAACAAAGAAATGAATAATATCCATTAGAGACAGGTACCACTCTTTTTAACAGATTTTTTGTATTGATTCCGATCTCTCTGTGTCTCTTTAATCCAAAATCAAAATTTTTTAATAACTTTTTTCAAATAATGTTTTCTCTTATTCCTGATCCCAAAAAATCCAATAGAGATTTTTTTCTTTGGATCTTAAAATAAACATCATTCAGGACCGAATATTTTTTTATATCAAAGATTTCAAATAAACTCGAAACGAAGAATCCGCATCGATTTGTCTTCAATTCTTGTAAATGGTAATGTCATATTATCATGAAAGTGATCATCAATATTGGTTTTCTTTCCTGGCCTTATATTAATATATTTAAGAAAACAAAAGGTTAATTGTACATTTGGGTCCAATTCATCTCCACCAACAGCTACTACTTTGATCTTTTGATCAGAGCAAACAACAAAAAAAACTAAACTAAACTAAATTGATCTTTTGCGGCATTCGATTCTTCATTGTCTTCAATTGATGTGTTTTGTGTGTGTTTAATGTGCAATGTGTGTGTATGTGTGTTTGATTGAAAATTTTCTCCCCACAATAATAATTGTTTCCCAAATGGCCTGAATAAAATCTTTATGTGAATTATTTATTCATTGAATACGATAATAACGATGATGATGAATATTTAGAATATTCATTATTTATGTTTGTAGGATGTGTTTTTGTTCTAGTTGTTCTATCATTGATGTAAAATATTCAAGAATGAAAATCAATAATTATTACCATCATTTTAGGGAAAAAATGCTGGCCATTCAATCATCAGGCCACGGTCCACCACCACCATCATCATTATCATCAACAACATTATTACCCGCATCAATTCAATCAATCCAAACAAAACAACAGCAAATTGAATGCGATGAAAATTTTTATCAAAAGAAAAAATCAAATAGCAATTCATTACCATTATCAATATTTGATCAATATTATTCTGTGTTAGTTTTACGAATCATCATCATGTTGTTGTTGTTGTTAACGATGACAAATTGTCTAAATATTTTTCAACAGCAATCATTAAAATTCTCATCAAATTTCATCATGTCATCATCATCGACAACCATACTATTATTCTTAGTGGTTGGTTTTGTGAATTGCTTCTGTGGTCGTCGTCATGGTGCTGGTAGTAGTTATTATTGTAAATTTTCATTAAAACATCCATCAAAATCATCGACATTATTAATAGCCGCATCAATGATTGCCGCCATGATGATAACTTCAGCAACAGCAATAACATCATCTTCTTCTCAAAGATCTTCTCAATCATCAATGATGATGAGTAAATCTTCATCTGCTAAATTCGGTTTGTATTTTTAAATTCTGGCATTTTTTTCCCAATGAAAACAAAAAAAAAACATCGATATCCACCATATGGTTAAAAATCGATTCTACTGGGTTTTTTTCTCTCTCAACAGATTCAATAAAATTGAATGTTTACAGTATTTTTTTTCTTGCCGAGTAATATTTATGCAACATTCGGAAAAAGAGTTTTTCCACAACAAAAAAAAATGTTGTTCATTTCAAGTTATCATCATTATAATAATAATAATAAGTCTCTCTCTCTCTCTCTCTGTCGTTATATAAATAAAGTTTTTAATATGAAAAGAAAGAAAAAGTTTTCGAGGAATTTATGTTATGTTATGAAAAGATCTTATTGTTGAAAAGTTTTTCGATGTTGTTGTTGTTGTTGTAGATCCTGTTGTTCAATTCTGGCTATATTTTCTCATTTCACATAAACAAATGACAGTTATCTCAATCCTTTTACCCATAAGTGTCACCATCAAAAAAATACTAAAAAGTTTTCCAAGCAAAAAACATTAAACAAAGATGCTTTCCTGTCTTGTTTCACAAGAGTTGTTTGTTGTTTTGTCACGGGTTTTCCTATAAAATTAAGATATTAAGGAAAATATGATAATATGGAAATATGAAAAATGAAAGTGAAAACAAAACATCTTGCCGAAATGTAATTAGAATGATGCAATGATTTTCTGATTCAGATATATGTGCCTTATTTGTTGCGTAGGTGGATGGATGCAAATTTTGAATTATTAGAAAAAAGTGTCCAATTTGTCAGACCAGTGTTTGGGCTCTTGATTTTATGAAAGAAGAAAAGTTTCTGATTTTTGTTGTTGTTTCTGGATTCTTGAAAAGAATCATCTCCATAACTCTTTCGTTTCACATATATTTCCTAAGAAAAATTAAACAAGACCAAACTTTTCCATTCTCCAATCTGCCGACTAACTTCCTGTCGAAAAAACAACTTCCATCATTTTTTTTGTTGTTGATCATCATTCATAAATGACGTTTATTATTTATTATTTTATTTTCAATGAAAAGTTTTTTTTATTCATTTTCATAAAAATTTACTGTATTTGATTTTCTGTTTCGGTTGACATTTTCATTTCTGGTTCATTCATTCATTCATTCATTCATTTCATTTCATTTTCAAATACACATCCGTTCGGAAAAAAAGTTCCAAACTTTTTTTATATTTATTTCCCATAATAAACCATAATAATAATAAAGTTAAACTTTAATTTTCATTCTGTTTTGGTCGGTTTGTTTGTTTGTCTTTCTCTCTCTCTGTTGACCTAAATCATTATTTATCATTATGTTATTATTATTATTATTATTAATGTTACTATAGGAATGAATCATTCATTGTCCATCATCATCATCATCATCATAAAAATTGTTAAAGAATCGAGAGTTTTCGAAAAGTTTCCCAGAACACACATATATAAACATGTTATATGTGTAGTAAAAGAATCTCTTGGAATTTTTTTTCTCTGTGCAAGGCCTTGAAGGCAAAAAATATATTAATTCTCTTTCGGTTCTTGTTTGGTTGGTTGGTTGATGACGATGTTGATGTATTGGTCCATAATGTAAACGGAAGATGAAAGTTTTTTTCTTAGTTTTCTTTCTTTCTGTTGACCAGAATATATTCTTTCATCATCATCATCATCTTCTGATCAACCATTCACATTTGGATCCATTTCCTTTCATTTTCTTCTAGAAATTCTTGAATTTCCGATTTTTCTTCTTGCTTTTCTTCCATAATAATCAATGATGATGATGATTCTATATTTATGATTATTGTCTATTTTTATTATGTTTCTGGATCCAAAAAACAAGATCAAAATCAATGATTTTTTATTAGCGTAATTTATTGTCGAAAGATTCATCATTATCATTTTTATTATGATTACTGGAAAATTTATTCAATTTTATCTAAATTTAGTTTTTGTTGTCAAAATCATTGATTGCTATTAAAACTAGAATTTGTCCATAAGTGTTGATATAGCCTAACTGCTGATGATGATAATAAGATTTGGGAAAATATTTTCGAGAAATTTTCTCTTATTCAATGCCGGTTTTATTTGATTTTCATTCTTGGAAAATTTTCTTTGATTCACATTTCACACAATGAATGATGATGACTTGGTTGGAAGCAGAGAAAAAAGAAAACCCTTTTCATTTTCAAATTTGAATTTCTGGAAGAAAGAAAAATGAAATTTATTGCCTGGAAAATAACATTACTCGCAATGAATGAATGTAGGAAAATGGTTTCTGTGTGTGTGTCCATATTTGCCCATTTTAAAGATTTTTTTTCGTTCTTTTTCCCGAAATGTTTGCTTAAAGTCATGAAAAAAAATTTCTGGATCAAGGTTTTTTTAAAATGAAAATATAAATAGCTTGTATGAATTCTGTTGATGGATCTTAAATCATTCGGAACCGGATTGAATTCAAAGATGGAAAAAAACGTTTATAGTGTAAATAATGAAAAAAATGTGAAATATTCACGATTCTTGAGAGTTTTTCTGCTAAAAAAAATTCTTTAAAATCTTTTTTCGAAAAGCAAACAAAATTATTATCACTAAATTTTGTTCTTCGGTTTCTCCATCGGTTTTTTTCGGCAATTATAATTGGCGAAACGAAAAAACAAATTTTCGGAATTCTAATTTTAGATTCTGATAATAATTTTTCTCTGGATTTTTCTTTCTCCAATTCTGTCCAACAGGGGAAAGAAATATAAATGTTCTGGTTGCATTTTGTTTTTCAGTTAGTTTTTTATTATTATTAACTTTTGTATATGGCACCATCATCATCACACAACAACAACAACCAAAAGTCCCATCAATCAAGTTATGATTAGAGTAAGAAGGAAAATAAGGAAATCATCTGAACAACAACATCTGAATGATCTGATTGACTATACTCAACCAAAACTTAGCTTAAATATAGATTTTTCGTTGGGTATGTTTTGAACGAATGAATCAGAGAGAAAACCAGCCATAACAAATCAAAAACCCACACACACTTACATAGGAAGAATCCAAAATAAACGAAAATCGTTAGTTAGTTAGTTGTACAAAACGATAAGAGATGTTAGTTTAATTTCCATATAGGATAGATTTTCCTTTCAACTATATATACTTTGCAGGCTAAAAGCTAATTAGCTTAAATCCTTATTTAAACAAATTGGATAATGTTTTTTTCCTACAATATAAATCTGATCTATTTGGGTAAATGTTGTTGTTTTTTACTTGTTAGTCGATTCGTTTGGTTTTTTCTCAATTTAAATTCTTTTTTCTTTTACGTTGATTTTTTGTTTTTATCCATACAGATCAATGTCCTTTTTATATGATGTGTTTGTTTGTTGTTTCTAGACATAAACCAGAACAATTTCAATGAGATATTCCTTGAATCAAATTGAGTGATTTTTTGTTTAATTAATTAATTGATAAAGTATACAATATCAATATATTTTCATATAGAATATTCCTTCTTCTTAGATCATTCCAGAATTTCATTTGAATAATTAAAAATACAAAGAAAGAATGGAAAATGTAAATTGAATTCTATGATTCTTATTTGGAAACGTAGATTCAGGCCTTCTTCATAATCATCATTATGATTCTGTATCGAACGGACGAATCAAACATTATCATCATTCAGTTGCAGAAAAAGAGAGACATCAAGATAGAAAGATAGACAGAAACACCAAACACACACAACTCACATCATTTTCGTTCATTTCGAATGTTTTAATTGGATTAAATTCAAGGGAATAACCAAGAGAAAATAAAGTGATATTGCTTCTGTTTTTCCTTAGTTGTTGATGATGATGTTGGTGTCTTTATATGAGTCCCGAATGGCTGCTTTATTCGTAACGAATCGAAATGAATTCAGTCACCATCATCATCATCAGTAAATAGGAAAAAAAGAAAGAACCAGAGAAAAGTTTTGCCCGGATTCTTTTCTCTTCTTTTCAGATCATTCGTGTTCAAGTACCCGAAAATGATGGCTGGTGTTTTTCTTTTCAAGCAATTCTTTATTTTTTCTTTTTTTTCATTTTCCTAAAAATTCATATTTTTTAATTGTCATGTCATTCATTTTGTCATTGAATATTCTTCTTCAAGTTTGAACATCTGGTTTTTTTTTATTTAAGGAATTTTCTTCTTTTCCGGTTTTTGTTTCTGTCAGAAAATCCTATTACGAATCGATCAAATTGGCACATTCGATTATGTGTTGTTCAGGTCAAAGTTCGTTTATTCGTTTGATTGAAATGGAAAAATGTTTGTTAGATGATTCGGCTGTTAAATAATGTGTAAAAGTTTTTTTGCTGTCTGTTTTTTAAACATCCAATTGATTAATTGTTCAATTGTACAATTGAACAGAACAAAAAACAAAAAGAATCGACAAAGATAAATATAGTTTAACGGAATAACAAATGAATGTATGTGTTTCTCAACAATCAAACAACCAAACAACAACAACAACAATTCTCGTTTACATTCAGAAAAAAAAAGAAGAAAAATATTGTGACATTTTATTTTTGCTTGCTGCTACTGTATTTATTTATTTGTTGTTGTTGTTGCTGCTGTTTTCCTCGTAGATTTTTCGATATCCTAAAATGAAAATTTTCTTTTCTTTTCGTTGATTCGTTTTTTCTCCTTACACAAACACACAAATCATTCCATCGTGAATCCGGTCGATGCTTCGTGTATTGAATTCAATTGAGCCCGCATACAAACACCGAGAGAATAAGAAAAAGCAAAAATGAGAAAATCGAATTGAATCGGAATCAGATTTGGTCGTTTTTTTACGTTTTTTCACTGCTAAACTATGAGGGAGAAAATGAAAAGAAGAAAATACGCTTAAGGTATTTTCAATGCTTTGTTTTTGTTTTCATTTTTCATGAAAAAAAACGAAACGTTTACCCAAACAAAGAATATTCTACGCTTTTTTGTGTGATATCAGATGTGCCCAGAACCAAAAAAGAAAAAAAATATATTCTAT